ACGAGATTTTCTCTCTTTTTTTATATTTTCATAAATATCGATTGTACGTTAGCTTTTGTACTAATATTTTTCATTATTTGCTATTTTTTTTGGCTCTTCCCTTACTTTGTTGATGAGAACCTCTGCTAAGTACTCGTGTTTAATGTCGTTGTTATACAAAAATTTAATGCAGTTAAAAGAGTAGGTTCCAGATACTTACTAGTAGGTTCCAGATACTTACTTAATTTCATGCCATCATTTGAGGCTTCATTAATAGGTTCCAGATACTTACTTAATTTCATGCCATCATTTGAGGCTTCATTAATTAATGTTTTAAGCTTTTCATGGATTTGACTATTTCCTACATCGTCATTTAATCATTTATTATCAACATAATTATAGTTTTGGATTAATCTTTAGGAGTCTTATTATTCTTGTGTGCAAATGAATAAAACCTAGAATCATGTAGTAAGGACCTTAATAATACAAGTATGATCCTCTAAATTATTAATATATATACTTATTTGAGCAAATTTTATTTTAGTCAATTATCAACTTTGGATGACTTAATTATGTTTGTGATTGCATCAGATCTCATATAAAGGCCATATGGTTTTAGTCATAAACCTATGAAGGATTTTATAATTGAAGGTTTTATTCGGAAATAATCTTTCTTATTATGGTCGAGTTTACAACAATTGTTGTAGAAATATGAGGAGTTCATATATAAATTGTTCATAGTGCTATAAGTTGTATTGTTTCATAAGGAATAAAATCGAGGGCAATGGGTTTAAAATATAATCACGATTTTAACTAGAATATAATAAACTAAATGACCCTCATTTCCAGCAAAATCAATATCTAGAGTCTTTTCAATTTTATTTGTTATGCCTTAGGGCATTGTTTTCTTTTTAAACATACCAAAAAATATATTATAATTCTTACCCAAAATGGAGTTTCAACGAATTCTAATTCTTCAATGGAAAGCTCAAATTGATATTCTTTTAAAATTATTAAAGAAACCCTAATGTTTCAATTGCATCTACTTGTAATTTTCTTTTTAGCAGCCATATGACTATGAGGATATAAATGAATTCCTAGTTAGAGATCTAAAGGAAACTACTTTACTAGTTTTTCAGATATTTCTTAAAAGTTTTATGAATGACTTTAAATAAATAGTTTATGATAAATGATATTACCCATTATGGAAATTCTTAAAAATGTAGTGGTTTTCAAAATTGTCAACAGTAATAATAGACTTTACCATCCTACAATATGTTGTTTTGGTTATTAAGAGATTGATTTGCTTATTTAATGCTCGTGGCAATTTCATTTTTGGCACTATTGTTGCTTTTCCTGCCATTGTTTGGTATTTTATTTTTCCTTTAAACCGATCTTATTAATGCGCGTGTCACCACTTTTCTCGTGATGATGTTGCTCTTTTATATTCATTCTCAAATGCAATTTGTGAACGTCAGAGAACAAAAAAAGTCAAAATATTTTTGATATAAAAAGAGTAGTAAGAAGAAACTAGCTCTACTAGAAGGGTGTAAGGCTCACGTTTGAAAATAATACCTCATTATCAATAACATCATATTAACTTTAATTTTCATCTAAATTAATTTATAAATGTTTTGAAAATAATTAAGAAAACAATGTATTTTTAGTTAATAAATTAATAAACTTTAGAAATTATGTAGTCATTGAAAATTTGATAATTAATTGAAATAGTTTTTATTTTAATATAAAAATAATGCTAAAGTTAGTACCAATTTTAAAAATTTTATCTACTATATCCTTACTCAAATATTTAAAATTAAGTAATGATTAAAGACCAAATTTTATAATCACTACTAATACAAAGTTTGAAGAATAAAATTAAATACATAATATTTATAAAATAAAAATACGAGTATATATTTACTATGATAAACGTATCTATATTATGATACTTA